AAAATTTTAAAAAATTTAACGGTAATTTGTGAGGTAGCCGACAGGTGATATATTTGAAGTTGTGTAATAAGTATTTTTAATTTTTAAAATAAATGTGTTATTTTTACTTTTTTTTAACAAAGCTAGCAATTAAGACGTAATTTAAATTTTAAAATATTTTAAATTTTAATTTTTAAATATTTAATTTGTCGAAGTTGTAATCAAGTTCTGCTCATATCGCGATTTTTTTCACGTTACGTAAAATTGTGCTGTTTAAAAACAATTTTATTGGAAAATATAATTGGAAAATACGAAATTGTTACTACTTTGCAACCCAGCACACCACCAATTGGCGTATCTTAGCTGTAACATGATACGAGTTGCCTCGTTAATTATATTAAACTTTGGAAAAAATCCGGTTTTCCGGATCATTGTTCTCCCCTATTACTCTATAAAGTCGAGGTAAATTTACTGCATATTATTTGAGGTCCAAGAATACATTAAGATAAAATAAAAACAAAAATTTCACACCTCTTTTGTCTCAGAACTGATTGTCTTTAAAATCTTTAAAATTAATATTTACTTATATATTTATTTGTACACTTTGCAGTATTGATGAAAAATTCGATTAAAGTATTCATATTTGTTACGCATTGTATATATTTATATTTGTATACGTGCGTCGGTTTATTATTATTCTCAAAAATTATTATTTATGTTACACTGATAACTTACAAAATGATAACTTTATATATGACATTCCTGTTTGTTTATGATATACAGTTTATTGTAGTTTAATCCCGAAAGAAATGCCACTATGATGAATGTGTAACAAAATCAATTTTGGAAATTCTCTCTCTCTCTCTCTCTCTCTCTCTCTGAACTATATAGTAAATATTAATTAAACAAATAATTGTATCTATAGAGATTTCAAAGTATGTCAATAAGGTAATCTATATAATTCGCCAATGTAAGCCACTTGTAATATATACAGATATTTGTAATAAGATATGATTAATGTTAATTGAAAAATATTAAGATAAAATATTAAGGTTTGAAGGTTTGACTATACTTCCAATATTGCTGTTATATATAAATTATATGATCTAATGACAAATATGTACGTTTAAATAACACAGTTCTACAAAAAATAGCTTTTTGTTGAACACAAGAATGCAAGGATATGACTTTTTACAGTTTTTTGATGCTAAATACAATGCCGACTTTAAAAATGCTCTATCACATCACAATTTTGAGAAATTAAAGTTGTAAAAAAGGGCTATTTTACACCGCAGGTAGATTATAAGTAGAATTAAAAACTGCGAATAATTCACTGAATATTTTCAATTTTTGTGGAACATAATGATTTTTGAGATTGCTAACTACGAATGAGATGTCAAAATTGACAAATTCAAAATAGCGAATTCAACATGATGGATGTTAAAATGATAAACGGTTGTAATTTTGTGAAAATTCGTATTTAAGAAATTGCTGAGGTTACTGAATACGAATCTGATGTCAAAAATCATTATGTATGTTTACAAAAATTAAAAATATTCAATGAATTATTTGCAGTTCTTAGTTCCATTTATAATCTACTTGCGGTATAACAAACACAATAATCGTCAAAATCTTGTTATCCGTAATGTATACAAAAAACTCCTTCTGAGAATTAAAAGTCCTAGTATATTTTATTTAAAAAAAAGAATCTTCTAACACGTTGCATACTATAACTAAATATTGGTGCTATTTTAAAATCGGTGTTGCATTCAGGATTAAAAAAACTGTAAAGAGAGATACTTCGCAGTTTTTAGTTTTTTTTGTTTAACTGTGCAATTTAAACAGTGATAAGAGGATTAAAAATGTCCTATATATTTTTCGTAATGTATTACCTATTATTATATTACCTATTATTATATTACCTATTATTATATTACGCAATTGTTAAATATGCGTATTTTTCAATACACGCAGCATTCATAATTACGTATTTTTCTATCATTATTATATATTAATATACAAGCTATATAATTGTAATTATACTAATAAATGACCAAAAAGTATATTTATTTTGTAAAACAATTTAATCGTTTGTTATTTGCCTAAGATTGTGATGAAATTGAAATCCTAAAGGAGATCCCACATGAATAAAGATTAATTGCAGAGTAAATTTAGAGCAGTATAACTATTTTATTTATTGAATCTTTTATCTTAATAATAACTTCAATTTTGCTTCTATATTAGATTCTAAACACTATTTTTTCTCTTCACGTTTACAACTTCTAGGCTTCTGTTGACGTATTGATGCATTTATATCTTCCTCACAATTAGAATATGCCATACCTAATCCAAAGCCAGCACCTGTTATAATGGGCCATTTCCTCCCTATAAAGAAAATTATTTATATTATAATAAATATAAAACTAATAAATATAGTTATATTGTAAAATATTCTTCAAAGACAAACAATGGAAGAAAAAGCAATAAAAATCAAAAGTGTGGTTATCGAACTGCAAACTATTATTAATTAATATAAGAGAAATGTTTTGGTCATAATTTGGGGTTCTCTTCAATTTGAGAAAATAGGAAAGAGAAAAAAAGATTCAAATTAATAAAATATATAAAAATTGATATATAATTTAATATATATGTATAGAAAACAATTAAATTTAAATAATTAAATAAAGATCCATTTAACAATTTTGTGTGTGTGTGTGTGTGTGTGTGTGTGTGTGTGTGTGTGTGTGTGTGTGTGTGTGTGTGTGTGTGTGTGTGTGTGTGTGTGTGTATAGCGATAAGAATGTATAAAAAAAGAAAAAGGTTTAAATTACATATAAATATATTTTCTTCAATAGAAGAGATTGGCCAAAATTGTGACCAAAGCGTTCTTGTCATACCCAGTGATAATAACCAATAGTTCTTGAGTTTGGATAATAAATAACTTAATAAAATGTATACAACTTTTGAATTTTTTTCTATTTCTATTTCTGTAAACTTTTTATCTCATTAAATAAAATTGAAGTATCTTGTCAAATAATTAATATTTATTTAATATTATGTATTTGTAAATAACTGTTATTGGTATATTAATTTTTAATTTTGCACAAAATTATAACTTGTTTTTGATAAAGAATGGACAAAATATTCTGCGAAAAGTACTACTAAAAATGAGAAAAATTATATAATATTATTCACAAGCAAAGGCATAAGTATATATCATTCATCACAATACACAGCACATATGATAAAAAGCATGCAATGCGTTAAAATCTTTCAAAAATTGTTATACCAAATCTCATTACATTCATCTTTATAATCGAATGTATTGTTATTAACTCTGTTGAAAGACATTATAGTAACAATTGCATTTATATTACAGGATTACTAATTATATGTATATTCACAAAATAATCTTACTCTTGAAGAAAAAGAGGGAAAACACTCCGCCGAGGATTACACCGCCGCCTAAAGAAATAGATTTGTCATTTATATCACAGAAAATCTAATTGTCAACAGATGTACTAGAAGCAATAATTACCGAACTTAAGAATAGCATCCGTAAAGCAACGATCCCACTTTCGTCCAATTTCATCCTCTGCCCACATCGTGCCGGCCATTTTTCGTGCTATAGTACCGTTGCTGTTACGTCATTCATGCAGAGCAAGACATTCACGTGCTTCTAATCTCCAATGTCAATCTTTAACCCACATCTCTTCATTTCGTTTATATACACACAGTCGTATAATACATAAGAATTATAAAATATAATTAATACATAAAATTAAGTTTTTATATCATATAGATTGAAAATTTACATAAATAAATTTTTATAATACGCGCTATTGCGCTGTTCCTGCATTCTTACCAACATGAAAGTTAAATAGCGTTTTTGGATGAACGAATTTTGATCACAGGACATCAATCACGTAATTTCTCCCCAGGAACGGAAACGTAAAAAGTAAAATTTTCATATGAATTCGATGAATAGAATTGTTGAATTCACGTAAAAGTTTTTATTTTTCACATTTCTGCTTCTAGAGAAAAATTACATGATCGATGCTCAGATACCTATATTATAACTAAATTGCTAACTCCCATTGGCTTAGGGTGCGATTACATGGAGCGCGGTTCACGGTACGCGGTACGCGGTAAAGGAACTAGTAACCAGAACCGTGCCGCCGTGCCGCCTGTTTTTTTCCCTCCTATTACATGGAGCCAAAAACTGCGCGGAAAAGCGGCACGGGCTAGTGACAAATTAACATTTGTATGCATTTTTTAATGAAATTCATTAATTTAAATGCAATTATGAAATAGATCCGTTGAAAGAATAAGCGTATCGATAAAATTAACGTAGAAATAAGTCAATACATTTAAAAAAATGCATATAAATGTTAATTTGTCACTAGCCCGTGCCGCTTTTCCGCGCAGTTTTTGGCTCCATGTAATAGGAGGGAAAAAAACAGGCGGCACGGCGGCACGGTTTTGGTTACTAGTTCCTTTACCGCGTACCGCGTACCGCGAACCGCGCTCCATGTAATCGCACCCTAAGGTTGCGTTCCGTTTTGCGCATAGCACGCATCGTTCGCATCGCTAATGCTTAGCGCATTGGCTGCGTTTCGTTTCATTATGCGCATGATACATGCTTTGAAACGGAACGATATTGAACGCATTAGAAGAGGAAAATCAAAATGGATTCCACAATAAATTGCGCTACCAATGTGACAATGTTTTTAATTGATAAATGAGTGACAGTAATAGTAGTGAATCATCAATGACTCTTCCATT